ATAGTCCTTCTTTATATGGTTTCACCCAGTTTGAGTTAAGAGTAGTAAATAACTTGCTCCCAGGTAAAGAACCGGTAGGGAAGTTCAGAGGCTCAGCAGCCTTCAGGGGGACATAACTTCCATATTTAACAAAGGAAAGAAAAGAAAGGAAAAGAAGAGTAAATAAAGGTGGTTAAAATCCAAAAATTTTCTTCTTCTTACTGTTTATTTCAGCTGCAGTTTAGCACAAAGCTTAATGGCGTTTTAACGCCACTAACTGGTAACGAATGTCATATAAGAAAAGAAATTTCAATAAAATGGTATTAAAATCCAATCCAAAAATCTTCATCTCACTGTTTATTCTAGCGGCAGTTGAGAAACATCAGTTAAAGGAACTCTGGCGTCTTTCTTTTGTGGATAACCCGGCATAATATTTCTACTAGTAGAAATAAATGTTGATTTGTATTTCTTTTCTTTTCTTGATGACATTTGTTACCCACTCCTTACCACTCGGTGGTGGTAAATCGCCATTAAGCTGTTTATCAACTGCTGCTAGAATAAACAAGATGAAGATTTTTGGATTCGGCTTAATTTCATTTTAGATGTGTATACAAAATGACAATAAAACTTGTCCAAGTCTAATCAGATGTAGACTGATTTATATTAAGGGAACACGTTTTTAATATGGGATTAAGTTTAATATTTAGATGTGGTTGTGTGTTATACCGTATGGGGTTTCATAATGATGCTAGATTTGACACCATGTGTTCTTTGAAATAAGGGCTACAGGGGTCTGAAAAGATGTTCAATTTCCCGTTTCCTGCATATATTCACCTGAAACATCTGCACATTTATGAAATCTTGCGTTTCTCCCCTTAGGAAGGCTCAGCTGAGGAATCTGGAAATGATTTATTTTTCCTACACTTTGCAGACTTTAAAATCAAAATGTACAATAGCTACCTTGACCATGAATACCAATTCCCCCATCTTGATTTAGTATTTAAGAACAAATTGCTCTAATTATTGTCCCTTATGATCGTTTATTTACTTTAGGTATTTATCTTGCTTCTTTTATACCCCATTTATAACAAGGTAATTATCACAAACGCAAACTTTATGCTTAGTTATTAGAGCGTTTACTTTCAGTCATATATGGATGCTCATCTGCGGCATCAGGAATTACTATTCTAAAACAGTCAATGTAAAACGTACACATCGTGAAGAATATCCAGCACGTCGATTTAGTGATTAACCAGGAACCATTTGCTCCAACTGCCGTTTGTGTGGCCCTTAAAAGGGCCTTTGTTGGGCTTGCAGCAATGAGAAGGTTTACTTGGAGCTGGTGTACTTTGTAACAGCCTTGGTTCCCTCAGACACTGCGTGCTTGGCCAGCTCACCGGGCAGCAGCAGG